GAAGAGGAAGAGGAAGAGGAAGAGGAAGAGGAAGAGGAAGAGGAAGAAGAAGAAGAAGAAGAAGAAGAAGAAGAAGAAGAAGAAGAAGATTCCTTCCCCACCACGCTGGGACACCCCCCACCCTGGTAGGGAGGAGGTGGTGAGAGAGCACCCTTTCAGAGGCCAAGGGGAAGGGGAAGGGGTGAAGAACTCTGGGAGGAGGTACTGGCAGGGGCAACATTTGGAATGTAAATAAATAAAATGATTAATTAAAAAATATAACAACCAAGTAATAACAATAATTTCTCATGATTTAGTAATTTGGAGACTATGGAATGTTTTGTAAAAGAACTAAATATGTTAAAACTGGGAAGTTGAAAATAAATACGTATCAAGCATACAAAGACATTAGGTACAACATGAAATGCCCTAAGCTGCTGTAACAACACTGACCACAAAATAGCATCCAAAAATTTTACCCATTTAATAGACTATTTAATAATTAATCCTACAACCTTGAGATTAGCTGACTGGAGTATTATTCCACATTAAATTAGAATTTCAAGATTTATCTATAAATGATAATGTGATAGAATTCTTTTATTTTGGTAAAACTAGAAACATAATGGCAAATAGAAATATAATTTTAAATGTCTTAAATGAGATCCCTTAGAAAGATGCGGGAAAGCAAAATAAAATATACTATGGTCTGGATTAAGTAAAGCAGAGGCTAAACAGTGAATATTTATGAGTTGGAAGTAATGTTAATTGAGAGCCATTTACACGAGTAAAAATCAATTGGCTCATGTCAGGGAGATTATCAGTCTAGGTTTCCAAAACAACCTCTGAATCTAAAGTCAATTATCTTCCACATTTTGAATATGGAATTCTTCAAAATGTTAGTAAATGTGATATACAATACCCTTAGATTGTCTTGACTGAAAGCTTTATATATGTTTTGAAATATATCCTAAACAATTACTGGGAAGATTATTGTTGATTTGTGGAATCGGGGCGCCAATGAGGTTCTTAGACCAGGAGATAATTTCACAAAGTTTGTTTTAAAACAATCACAAGGCGAAAGTCAAATCAGAAAGAAGAGACATTTTACTATATATATTTATATATATGACCTTAAGATACATTTTGTTATTCAATTTCTAAGAATAACTTTTCCAGTTGATTTTTCTCTCTCCACTTACAATTAAAATGGACATGTATATGACCTGTAATTTTCTTATCATTAATAGTTTATTAGCATAAAGCTTGACTATTCAATAGTTATTAAAATCTTATCAGCCTTGAAAAGACCGTATTTATGCCCTTAGGAAGTTTACATCTCAATCAGTTTCAAAGCCTGAACTTGATAACTAAATTCTGATTGGAATTTTTCAAAACTCATCCTCACTTTGACGTCAGAATAACTTTGTTCCTCCTCACAACACTTCATGAATACATTTGCTTCAGGATGGCTTAGCTACACTGGAACCTCAACCGCTCAATTCTTTTTTGTTATGATAGAAATCAAAACTTTAAATTTTTGCCACTAGTAGTGAAATGGCCACCTGCTCAGCTTGCTCAGCCTGCTCACCTACAATTAAGTCTGGGCTGGTTGTATTGATTACATTCAATCAGATTGTTGAAACTGTTCTGGTCTTTGGAAAGTAACTTCCCCTGATTAGATAACCAAAGAGTATTCTAATAGGCCTGCACATGAGCAACTTAACCGTTACAATAGAATCGAGCACTAGCTAGTTTTTACTCACACCAAGGGTACTTAGGTTTGTAGCTGTGGGTTTCCTCAACATTTCCAGAGATGTTTGATATCCTTGGTTGTAAATATCTTCAATCCTTTGAGCTACATGTTCCAAAGATGTACAAAATTTCCACAAAGCATACTACTCCTGAACTAAGACTAGTCACTAAAATCCTTTGCTTTCATGACAAGAGAGCATTCTACATCATACCCTAGGCAATATCTGGTTTGGGGGAATGACCAATACATACACTTAGTGATACGACTTTGCTCCAAGATTATATGTTCCATCCTCCAATGGCTATTATGTATCATTGTCATCACCAGGAATGCAAACTATTGACAGTAAAATCAGAAATACAACGAGACTTCATGCTTAAACTCAGTAAATCTGATAATACAAGTAAATATAAGGGGCACCATCAACTACTGGACTATTTTCACAGCTGTAGAATTCTCTGTCAGTCAGAGGTATATTGATAAAAGTATACAAATGGACTGCCAAAGCCCTTCATTAAAAATGCAGCTGAAAGACATTTGGATGAGCTCACTAGAAGAGGTATAGCAGCTATTTCTGATTATAAGCTTTACACACTCTTGTTAAAACAAACATCATTTTTACAAACATGTTAAGTGACAATACAAATGATAGACATTTAAGTTATACTCAAAATCAATTCGATAGAATACGAAAGAAAACGCTGAAAAATGAACCAAACTAACCTTTTCTTTTTAAAGGAGGTTCTTCTATTTCTCCTAAACCAAGGGAGGAAAAAAAGGTAAATTAGCATAACCTCTAGTGGGCATTTGATATTTACTCATGTTGTACTTATTTTTTCCCAAGCTATTGCTTTCTATAATCATGATTCTTGCTTTACTTTGCAACAGAAATTCCACAGTACATTCCCTGTTCAGACATGTTGACTTAAGATGGTTTCATTTTACAAATTCAATAAAATTATTGCAGTGCTCCAAGTTACTGCATTATAGCTCATATACCATATTAATTTCAATTTTCTCTCTTTATTGTGTACAAGACCAAAACAGAAATAAATTTCCAATATACTTACAAAAGGGTTCTTTTTTAAAGATTTATTTATTTTTATTTATATGAGTGAACTGCATCTGTCTTCAGCCACGCACTAAAAGAGTACATCAGATCTATGTGAGCCATCATGTGGTTGCTGGGAATTGAACTCAGGACCTCCAGCAGAGCAGTCACTGCCCTTAACCACTGAGCCATCTCTCCAGCCCATAAAAGGGGTTTTTAATAGCCAGAATTTTCTTGTTGGGTAAGACTGAATGGATAATCATGGATGACTAACAGTAGCCAATTTTTTTAAAACAATGTTATATAACAGATTGGATCACCATCTTTGTAAACCATCTAAATTTATACACAGCTTGTTCTTCCATTTACGTTTATTTATTAAATGTGAGCTGCTTATTTTTATAATACTTACAATGCATCTTTCCATTCTATATCTTAATTTGATTTCATCAATATATGCTTTAACTGGGCTTTTTAATGATTAGTTATCACCATTCTACTATTAATGTGGCTTACATGTACAAACAGATGATTGTTGGTTTTAATGTTTTTGTTTCAATCCTCCTAGAGATAAATGTGAAAAATAGCTACTCTGAATGAAATAACCATGTAAGGGGTAACCTATTGTGGTTTTATAGTCATTTATATTAAGACTTTCTGCTATAATTCCACTCTAGAAGCTTCACTTAATTTTGATAGCTTTTTCATAATGGCAGAAAAACTATAAGACTAAAGCCAAGCAGAGAGCAATTCACTCTATTTGGGAACTTATTAGAGTGAGTTTTGTACTCATAAGTATCTTCATGAGTTTTGTCTGTCCAGTTGCTCATTAGGGCTTAACCCTCAGCAAGTCAGTGTTAAAAGTGCACAATATCCTGTCATAGCTGTTAGACACAATCGTATATACAACTCTATATATGACAGATACAACTTTGCATCTTTGATACCTTTATCAATGTCCTCATCTGCGTCTTCATCGTCTTCATCACCTTCAGATGAGATGATGTCAGATAACAAAGAGAAAAAGCCATAGATCCAGTCTGTTGTTTCCTCCACAGCATCGTTTACTAGTTTTAGAGGATCTGAGCCAATCTTGGCAATGGAGCTTGCTAAAAGACATGGAAACAAAGGGGAAACTTCAGCAGTCATTACCTGAGAATCTAAGGAAATTTGTTTGCAAGACTATAAATATCTCTAGGCTACTATTTTGTACAGATATGTAAAATATATCCTGTTCTAGTGTATATATAAAGTAGTATATAAATATATTACATATATTAGTGTATATTATGAACTTATTTATATAAAACAGTATATAAATATATTATATATTACTTTTTACTGTATATATATGAGTATTAAAAATTATCATGTATTATATTTGCATATATATTACATGCACATAAATATACACATATGTATATATAGAGATAGATATATAGATATAACAAAGACAAGTGATTTAAAACATCTAGTATTAAATATTACAAAACTACCAAAAGGAAAATACTTTAGTAATGACTATAAGCTAAATGCATATGTGGAACAGCAAAACTTTGGAATAAGTTAAATAACATTTTTATTACATAAGTTTTAAAGTCACTGTGTTCTAGTTGTTTGGGAAGATTGAAACAGTTATTAGCCTATAGACTACTTTGCAGCATCATGGAGAAGATGACCATGTAAATCTTCAAATAAGAACTACAAAATTGACCAGAGTCATTATGTATGAATTAAGATTGATTATATATATATATATATATATATATATATATATATATATATATATATTCAGTAAAATATGGAAAACAATGGAAAAAACTTGGAGTTATATTGAGGTGACAATTTTGTCCAAATTGAACAAAGTTCATTAACTTTAACTATTTGGAAACTCTATCTTAAAATATTCAAACAGTAAACTCTTTACATTTAAACGCTTAGAAACTCCAATAAAAGAATTAGGTAAAACTGAAACCTATATATCATACTTTTGTTATGTGTTAGAAGATTTTCATATATAAGCACACTGGGGATTTACAAAATGTTCTGATTTTAGTAAAACGTATATGAAGACTGAAAAGTAGGCTTAACATCTGCTTGAGGGATGATGTCATAACACAGCACAAATTGCACCTGAGCTTCTCATGGCTGCTCTTCGAGAAGCCCAACAAGCAGTTCAAAGAGTCAGATGCAGATACTTACACCCAACCAATGGACAGAAGCTGGGGACTCCTAAGGTTTAATTAGGGAAAAGCTGGAAGAAGCTGAGGGCTGTCTCAACTAACCTGGACCTCTGAGATCTCTCAGACATTGATCCACAAATCAGACAGCATACAGCAGCTCATATGAGGCCTCTGACACATATGTAGTAGAGGACTGCCTGGTCTGATCCCAGTGAGAGAAGATGTACCTAACACTTAAGAGACCTGAGGCCCCAGGGAGTGGGGAGGTTTGGTAGGGTGGGGGTTAGGGGTGAAGACATCCTTTTGAAGATGAGGGAAGAGATATGGAATGAGAAACAGTCAGAGGGTGGACCTGGAGGGGGATAATGACTAAACTGTAAAAAAGATTAAAAGGAAAAAAAAAACCTACGGATAGGGAAAAAAAGTTTTAGAGCCATTGTTCTTTTAATTTTAAAAACTAGTTTTGTTTTCCAAGAAATCTTCTTTCTTTGATATATTTAAAAGTTCAGAATCAAATCAATGCTTTGTATCATCTAAAGGTTAAGTGTTCCAAAATCAGGCTTTTACTTTGAAGCAGATAGGAAGTCACTGGAAGATTTGAGTAGATTTGGTGCTGAAGATTAAAATGACCTCAGGGAACAAACAGGCAGATAGTGACAATCCAATTAAAATAATTTAGAAAGTGGATAGTCACGGAACCTCAAGACTGGCATGTCGTTTGCCACCAGATTCCTCGTATTTCAGTGGTACAGCTGATAGTCTATGTATAAACGCTTTCACTTCTGCTCTAGTGTGTGAGGGAGAAATAAGTAGATTGAACAAATGGAGACAGAGAATGGAAAGATACATTATAATTATTACAAAAATATGTATCTCATTGATATAGTTTTGTAATATTTTGCAAGTGACACTGGAGGTTTAGCAGTGATTCCTAGTGGGATGGGGAGACCTGAGGAGAAAGATCACTGGTTTTATTGTTGTTTGGTCTGAATTGCAGGAAGAATGGAATAGAAAAGGTACCAAGGTTTAGAATTTTATCTCTTTCACCCCAATTGATGCTTTGGTTTAACTACTTCAATCTAGTCTGTAAAAGAATATTTTTCTTGACTTTAGTAATTTGGCAGCACCCGAAAGATGGAAGATATCAAAAGCATGATGTTCAGTGAGGCCACAGAGAGAGAAGATTTGAGAAGACTTAGTACCTAGAAGGCACATTACATAGTACAAGGCACAGTACATTAGAAATGGGGAACAGGGAATCAACGGGGCTGGAGAATGACCAGGATAGTATGAAGTGCAAAAAGTAAAATAAAGAAATCATTTCAGAAAAAAACAGATTGTTTAAGAGGCAAATGATGTTCTCAGAGCTAGGTAAATGAAGACAGAATGGACAAACCATGAGAATAATATTTAGGATGTCCTCAGAGGCTTTCCACACACAACATCAGCAGAGAATGTTCAGGTCATTATGAGAGAAATTTGAAGGTAGTAGATACATTTTACTACCAATGATGAATAATAAGAGCTATTCAAACAATTAAAATCATAGTTTGTTTTCAGCGTTATGGATGAATACTTGAAAATGTTAATGATTCAGGTCCCACAGAGAGCAGAGAAAATGATGGGAGAGAAGAGACGTAGAGAAGGAATAGTACTGGGGTGGGGGGAGGCAGAGCACAAAGACTGCAGAATACTCTTAAGTTTGAAAAAAGTAACAGGCAGAAAAACTACCTGAACTTGTCATGGCCCTTGTGTCTCCATTCTTTCTAATTTATTTTCTTATATTCTTGTGTAGCTACATTATATCTACCAAAAATATTGGACTGAATGTTCAGATCAAAAGGAAAGAAAGTAAATTTTATAACTGCAATATAATAAAATTTATGCATTTTATCTATTTATTTAATTTATTGACAAATTAGTAAATGTATTTATTATATAATACATACTTTAGCAATAACAGTTTCCTTCTGGTTGAATAATGGGAGTTTTTCATATTGAATAGATTGAGACTACAATGGGAGTTTTTCATATTGAATAGACTGAGACTATTTTCTCATCCACCTTACTCTAATCGTTAACAATGAGATCTAAGAAAATAGTCATCAGCTTAATTATCCTTAGGATTGAACACACTAGAGGCATTTGGCACCTGTAAGGGTAAAATAGAGTCAAGTCAGGCAGTCTTCATTAAAGTAACATTGCTGACTTGACACCTTCTTATTTTCAATAATGAAGGTAGCTTATTAAAAAATTTAACACACATATTTAAGACAGACTGTAATATTGATAGTTTACAGACATCATATTCATACCATATTATAGTAACAATATTATACAACACAATTAAAATTCTTATTGGTGATCTTTACAAAGAGATGGTCTTGATTCAGGTGATAGAAGTACCAACTGGCCATTTCTTGTTGCCAAATGTCCAGTATCAGACGGAGTTACATACAATTGAGTTATTGGCCAAGGAGAGGTCTCATGAAAATCCTCTATAAAGCCCAGGCTGTTGCTAAAACAATAGATTGTTCTGCATAAACTGATGGTAGACCTCCAATACCCACACAACTCACTGAACATAGAGAAGTAGAGCTGGTGCCTACATAAAACCTCTCCTATGTTCTAGTGTCTTTGATATAGGAAGATATTCTGCAAGTTACCAAAAGGAGAAACATAAACAACAACCCAGACAAAAAAAAACCTTTAATTTATATGGTCTCTTCCTGCAAAATATACTAGGGCATTGGTGGCATAAAGCTTGTGAGAGTAACCAACTAATGTCTGATTTGGTTTCAGGCCAACTCCAGGAGATGCAACCCATACCTAATGCACATCACATGGGTGACCAAGAACCTGAGACTAGATAACACAGAGATAGAGGGTAAAATCAAATACTACTGGTCTTTAAAAATAGAGAAAATTACTAGTAAATGATTTCTAATGGTATTCTGCTATACTCAGATCAGTGGCTTATCCAGCCATTATAAGAGAAGCTTCCTCTTACAGAATATGAAAGCACATACAGAGACTCACAGACAAATATTACACAGAAACGAGAGACCTTGGATCACACAGCTATAAATAGGGTATGTCCATCAAATCTCTCCCATCAGAGCGCAGGGAACTTCATGAAAGAGGAGGTAGAACGAGTGTAAGAACCAGAGGAAATGGAGCGCACCAGGAAAAAAAGGTCCTCTAAATCAAATGAGCCAAGCTCATATGAATGAGCACAAGGCTTATGCAGGTATGCTTCAGGTCTTCTACACATTCAATTTAGTATTTTTGAAGAACTCCTGAGTGTGTGAATAAGTGAGTCCTCAATTCTTGTACCTTCTCTTGTGCTTTTTTTCCTTCTTTTGGTTTTCCAATGTCAATGGGATGTGGATTTTTTAAAAATCTGATTATATTTATTTTGCTATGGTTATTTTTTGGTATCTTTAAGAAACCTGTTATTTTTTAATGAGAGGCATAAAGATGTGGATCTTTACTGAGAGGAGGTGAGGAGAAACTGGGAGAAATAGATGGAGGGGAATACGGATATATTGGATAAGAAAAAAATCATTTAAATAATTGGAAAAAATGCATCTCATTATGAATGCCAAAAAATAAAAAAATAAAAAAGAGAAATAGTCCTGTAACTTAACTTTAAGTTCCTTCACACTTAATAATGAGGATTGTCACAAAAATTAATGCTTTAAAAACAATGATAACTTAATGGCATTCTAATTGATTTATATATATTCATTTTATATTTTTCTTGATAAGCCAATGAGGTGTATATGATTATTTTACTTCTTTTTTTAAATACTGTAAAACTGATGCACAAAGAGATTACATAGTAGAAAGTGATAGACATAGGCTTTGCACCTATGTTTAGACCTCCTGCCCAAGACCTATTATGTTATGTGGTATCAAACAAA